CAATCTCAAGAGATTTTTTTTCTTTTTTTTTTGTGAAAGGTCTTTGTTACATTCAATAATAAAGATAATATCTACGTTTATGTATATATATTTATAATTAATAAATACAATTAAATTTGTTCGATTGTTAAACGTTTATTTCTTTTAAGTAATGTATATAATTTAGAAGAATATAGAATGATGAATATCTAAAATTAAAAAATTTTGTTTTAAATTCAAAATAAAAAATCCTTTAATATTATTTACTTGTAAAATTGAACCTAGAAAAGAAATCGTAACGAATATTATAGCAACGATTATTCCAGCAGCAACAAATCCTATATGATTTGCCGTATGAACGATTCGAATTAAAACTATTACGATAACTGTGCTCGTCCAAAAAAATACTGCTAGTCCAAGCAACGAAAACTAAATATAGACATAATAATATCTACTCTAGCTAGTAGAAGTACTAGATGACACTTACAATGAGTAAACCTGTTTGGTAATAACGATATGTTACTAATAATCCAAAACCATAGTAAATTAAAGAGGCAATAATTAAAGCTAATTGAGCACTACTATTTGGTGATTGACTTTCTAATGATTCACTAGCTGCATATGAATGAATAACAAAAAGAAAATTAACCAAACTAAAAACCTAAAAGAAAATATATTAAATGATTTCATATTAAAATATAGATTATTTCATTGTATGACTTACTAGATCAATTCCAATGAAAAAAAATAGAAGTTTGCGAACTCGATTTACTTTAGGATTTTGTTCTAATGATGGAGGTTCAATAGGTACGTTTTTACCGCGAAGCATAGCTGCATTATCAGCCAATTCTTTATTGTACATTTCCATGTTAATGTGCTGTTGATTCTTCTCTATATGCACGACGTATCTTCTATTTTTACGCTTCCGAGTGAGAGAAAAAAAAGAAAAGAGAAAAACAAGCTGGTTCTCTCTCTCGACATTATTGAAGACTAGTGGAAGAAAAAGAAAATAACAGCAGAAGAATTCAATAGTTCTGTTATGAGGAAGTGGAAGCTGGCTATGATATATGAATAGAACGAGAGAGAGAGAGAGAGAAAGAAAGAAAAGAATTAGGTCAGTAAATGTAGAGAAATGCTTGTGATATGCAATCATTTGTGTAAGATTGCTTTTAGATTCTTTTGTTTAAAAATGAAAAAGAAAAAACTCCGATGTAATTTGATTTTGTTATCATTATTACATTTGATAATATTATTTACACTTGTATATCTAATATATAAAAATAGAAACTAGGAATTCCATTTTATCCCAAGATTAATTCAATAAGTATTAGAATGTGATGTGACTATACACTTAACATGACACAATGGGGATAGAGTATTTTTTCCTCAGTAACCAATAGTATTGAAGGAAAACAAGTAATATACGAAACATATTCAAAAAAATTTGCGTGATGCCTAAAAGCATAGTAATAGATTATAGAACTTTTCTTTTTTATTGCAATAACTCTATGGTTATTAAAAAAAAAAGATGTGTTGCTTTTGTCAATTATTAATATCAAAGTCATGTTTTATTAGTTTATACTTTCTGAATATTTTTAAAGTTATTGAAATTATAAACATGTTAAATAAGATATTCTTGAATGAAATATGTTGTTGTTGTTTTTTTGTGAAGATATTTTATTAATAACTTGATTTACCAAGAAAATAGAAGGCATTATATTTTAATTAATGATATTAATTAAACTTGTTGATAAAATGATATAATAATAAAATCTATTAACACAATTCTTGTGAGATTAAAATATGAATCATGATGTAGCTGCTTTTGTTAATCAACGAAAGATTATTTTATTATATCTATTTTGGGACACATTTTCTTGCCATCCTTGTACTTAATCCTCCAGCTGTGCATTAAGAAAGTCATTTATATATTAGAACGAGACATTATGCAGCTATAGCCTCTAATCATATATCAGCAACGTCTGTCGAGGTCAGTGATGCGGAGGGGGAGAAGAGCATTTCTAAGGTATCTGTCACATTTTGTGATGTGTGCGTGATGAGCTGCAAATTTCTATCTTTCATATTTCAACACTCTTTTAGATCGTATTTCACAAAAATGATTTATTTATTAACATTTTTCTTATTAAATATATCCTTCGAACAATAAGAAATATAATCAGTAGACATTTCAAGGTCTTTATCATACACATCTATATTTCTAATAGAAAAATACGATTGTACATCAACACTGTCTATTATGACAAACTATTTACTTTTTAACAAGTACATCTATAATTCTATGTCAATAATCTATTGTCTTTTCTCAAGTTCATTGAGAGAAAGAATCAATAGATTTTACAGACAATGTCTACGAATGATATCACATCTTCGAATGTTCCACTGTGAATCTTCACAAAAATTTTGTACTGTCTATACCGAAAGGAAAGTATGAAAAGAGCCTAGTAAAATGATGTAAAAATATTGAACAACGTGAACAAGAATGAATTGTTTGTTATATAATAAATAAAATAATTGTTAACAAAATATGTCAACACTATATGAAAAAATGCTTGTACTCAATTACTTCTCAGTAGATATGACCTAATATACGTATAAATAAATTCTATCAAGACCCTTCTAACTTATTTGTCAAACTATTACAATTTGTTAATCAAGGTTCATTCATTTAATTAATCCAACCGAAAAACACTACAATCTCGTACTCAGCGTGATGGTTTTTTTCTGTATCTACTAATTGTTATACTGCTTTAATCTTTTAAATATATCTTTTTCCTGGAATATGTGCTAGATAAGTTTTCGTTTTTTTTATTAATAGTAATACACAATGACCTATGTACTAATTGTAATAGATCTAGCGAAATTCGACTATTTATCTATAATGTGAATGTAGTGCTAATAGTAAATGCTTGCACATGTTAACAACTTTTGCATTGAATTTTCTAGTTTTGATCACAATTTTTAATGTGAATTTAACTCTTCCATTTGATTGTAATAGTGCTTAACACGGTCAATATAATATTAGTCTCTTTTTTTTTTCTTCATAATTCAATAGGACTATTCAAAAACGTGATGATGTTATTTAAAAGGCTGGTAACAATATTCCATACGACTGTCTATCTCGACAATAATTCATCCATCGGAAACATTATTGAATATATTATTATTCTATAAATAATTATTCTGAAAATGATGATGTTCTTAATCAAATATCATTTATATATATATATTCATAAAACATGTCATAATTTTCACTTTTTCTCATTCCAATTCATAATTATTATTTCGTTCATGTTTTTTTGTATGTTGACGAAGTAATCCCATGTGAATAAATATATGATTTCCTTTTTTTATTTTATTAATATAAATGAAATACATCGTATATGAGTAAAATGACAAAATTTTAGATTTCTATACAATAGTTCTTATCGAATAATTCAAACTAATAAACTTGAATATCATAAACTAATTATAACATACTCAAAATCATTTATTTTTCTGATGCTACCTTATCAAAAAGAAAATTATTCTTGTAAATTTTTGTATCAAGTACATCGAGCACTAGAAAATTTCTTTTTTTTTGCTCAGCTTTCTTAAAAACCATAATTTGAATGCAAGTGTTCTATTATAATACTTAAACAAATTTAGAATCATGTGTAAAATTTCAGCATTTAAGATATAATGCATGTTCGTATTTTTTCTTGAGATTAGTCCACACATATTAATTTTTTATATGACTTTTCAACTCATACGCGAAGAGTTTTACATAGTGGGTACAATTTTCAATATCAATGACGAAATCGAATGTAGAATAAAACTAATCTGTCTCATGGAGGTCTCCATTCAGTTCACATTCCGTGTTAGTGACTGAAAAATGCAATATTTTGCCCGATCTGCTACGCACTAATGAGGAAAAGTCCCCAATTGATCTGCACCATTTTCAATGATATTTTGTCCATATGTCGAGGACAGTATTCTAAGAAAAACCCTAAGAAAGTTTATACCCATGAACCTTCCTTCGAAGATTATGATCATTTTACTGATTTTTCCATCTAATACAAGGTATATAGAGAAAAATTGAACAACGTAATTTCAATCTGAAATTTTGCTCATATGTAGCTCTTGTAATCATTAGAACACTAAAAATTTCAGCGGGAAAAAAATGTTTTCTTTTGCAGATATTCAATTTTAAAAAAAGTCAATCTTTCAGGACTTTATATATTATGAGACAAGTTTTTAAGAATCAATGTCTCCGGAAGGAAACACTTTTTCTGCTAAAACTTTGAGAATATTCTAATGATCACAAGAGCTAATATGAGCAAAATTTCAGATTGAAATTCCATTGTTCAATTTTTCTCTATATTCCTTGTATTAAGTGGAAAAATCAGTAAAATGATCATAACCTTCGAAGGAAGGTCAATGGGCACAAAATTTATTAGGATTTTTCTTAGAATACTGTTCTCGACATATGGACAAAATATCATTGAAAATGGCATGAATCAGTTGGAGACCTTCTTTCGCAAGAGGATTCAAGGTCATATTGAAAATAGTAAGATAATACAAGGATGCGATTTTACACATAATTCTAAATATGTCTAAGCAGTTATACGAAAAAAGTTCCTTGTTGTTTATCTACATATTCATATGATAATAAAGTCGAATAAAAGATGTTCTACTGGTTAAAAATTTTTTTTTTATTGAATATGAATGTTTATAATATTTTAATAATTTCTCCTCCATAAAATAATAACAATGATCAAACGAACCACCTATTTTAATTATGTCATCATTATTTTCTTCATCGATGTAAAAAAGAAATATTTTAATATTTGTTAAAGAAGAAAAAAAAAGAACATGGGAGGAGAAAAAAAAATTACACAACATAGGCATTAGAAATCAGAGAAAAGAGAATTAAGTTTGTTGGTCAATATCATATAAAGCAAATATTTTAATTAGCCTGATCATTGTTGACAACTAATCGAAGATCATCTTCAAATTGTTTTTCAAGTGTTTTCATTGATTGACTAAGTTCAATAAATCGTGTTTCATAATCATCATTTTCAATTTGCCAACTATCATTAGAAGTTGTTTCATCATCACAATGACCACTATCAGTTTTTGGTGTTATTTCAATTTCTTGTTTGATTTCACTACTTTTAACAATAGATTCCCGATTAGGTTGTTGTTGTTGTTCAACAATATCAATTTCATTTTCACATTCATCAATATAGGAAAAATTATCACACTAAAGACAAATAATATTTCCTATTAAAATAAGCTGGAAGTAGATTGTCTCGGCGGAATTGGAACGAAGTTTTTTTTCACAGAAATAGGGATTGGGAGTGAGGTTTTTCAGATCGGGAACGAAGTTTTTTTCAGGCCAAGACCGGAATCAGTTTTTTTAGATTGGAGCCAGTTTTTTTTCTAAGCCCAGGCCAACTTTCTTTTTTCAACCGAGATCTGGACTAAACTTTTTTCTCTGACCAAGACTAAAAAACGAATGATCCTGTTCATGCTTATCTGTATAATTTCTTTCTTACTTCTATTGATAATTGCTTTTTTGATAGAAAACTTAAATCATTTAATAAATCTTCAGCTGGTTTTAATGATAATTCTAAAAGAAAAATTTCATGTAAAGAAGATAATAAGATGTATGGTACGGTTGTATTTACCTTTTGAATCTTCATTTGTTGATAAAAATTCTCGATAATTATCCAATACTCGATCCTGAAGAAAAATTTTCAAAAAGACTTTGTTTTTTTCTTGTTTCTTAACTTACATGACGATATTCAAGAAAAGTAAGAATTTTATCTAAAGAAATATCTTTTTTCATAGGATAATAAACTGTTGTTAATGCAGCTTGAAAAAATGCCCATTTTCGTCGAAGATTAATTAATTCTTTATAATATCGATAATCATCAAAAAATATTTCATTTTTATGTTGTAATTCAGTTGATTTTGTTTCTATTATTGAAGTTATTTTATCAAACATATTATATGCATATTTATGACGTAAATTTAACATAATATCAGCTGGTAAAAAGATATCATTTTTTAATTTTGATTCAAGTAAATCAGAATCTTTATCAAATTGTTCTAAACATTCATCTAATCGACCAAGCTAAATAAAATTTAGAAAAAAATAAAACAAAAAAGAATTTTGTTTTTCTAGTAAAATAAAATATTTACTTTAGCTTGTCGACGATTTTCAATATATGTATATATATTTTTACTTGCTTGAACAATTCGATCAATAGCATCATCAATAAGTTTTTTAGCTTGATCATGTGCATCTTTTGCTTGTTTATCAATAAATGTAATAACTTCAGCAGCACCTATACGACGATTTATTTCCATTTGTTCATATATTGATCGCATATCATCAAGTATATTTTTTCGATGACACATAAAACATAATGTACAATATTGTTGTGAACAATGACGACAAATAACTTCACTTATTAAATTACATGATGGGGATATACATAAATTTGTTTGTAATTTTACTGAACGCATATTTGCTTGTTGATTATTTTTATTATCTGAATTATTCGACATATCTACACACTATTTATTTAGAGGATATTATAAATGAACGACGAGGTCAACGATAGAAGAGAATTGCCCGAATAATGTTAGTTTGTCTATGTGTATGCATTTTTTGTTTTACTTCTTTTCCTATTCGACCACCGACGCCGACGACCATGATGACCGGAGAAAAAAATAAGAAAGAAAGAAAGAGAACTCGACATCTCTGCCTATATGAACTGAAATAAAATGTCAGCTGTTTTTCGATAGTATCGGTTATTTTCTTCGACGATATTGATGAAGTATTCAGAGAGAAAAAAAATCGTCTAGTCAGCTACAATAGTTGATTGATTGGTCAACATTAAGATTTGTTGATAGATCATGGAAATTTCTAAGATAGTACGTGATTTTTAAAAAAATCATAGCTCAAATTCATAGTTGAGACGTAAAGATGAACTGATATATTAACATATTAAGTTCAACGTATTTTACGCTAGTTTTAGTAATATATCTTTTTTCTTTTTCATTATCGAACGTTTTCAGTAGGATGATTTTGATTAAACATTTTGTCATGTTTGATAAAAACAGTAAGCACACTCAATATGTTTATTTGAAGTATGTTATCAATATCTGATGTGGTTATCCTTTCTCAAACAAAATAAAAAAGAACGACGTTCATCACAGATCATTTCAATTTTTATTTTTAGTTCTTGTAATAGCACTTGTTGCTTATGTAATTGGAATAGTTGTCATAATAATACCAGCCATTATTAAAATAGCATGCTGAGTAGTAGTCAACGCATGCTGTTCCTACTGATACAGACAAAGTGCATTTTACATGGTTGAGTCTAAAAATAAGTCTTATGAGAGAATATCCTCAAGTTTTCTTCCAGGTTTCAATAATATATTGTTTATAGATACTATATAGTGTCGTAGTGAAAACCTCATCAAGGATTTCATTTCCTATTTCTTTCTTTAAAAGTTATGAATATTTTTATTCTGTCTCTCTAGTACATAACATACAATATTAAAAAACTCATTAGTCAATCACAATGCAAACTAATAGTCAAAAAATTATTTTCCTAGTCCTGTTTGATATTTATTATATTGACAGAATTGTCAATGTTTTACTTTCTGTTTCTTGTCAGACTATAGAATTTCGTTTACTGAAGAAAGACTATAAAGTACACTGTCTATCGTAAAGAGGTCCATTTCTACTATGATTGATTATACATGTTTGTAGAAATCATTTTTCTATTGTTATTGGATAGATAAGATTAGGATGTGAATCCTTTACAGAGATATAGAATGAAAAGAAAAATACAAGAAAAAAGGAAAACAATGATAACGTCAATTATCGCATACTCTTTATCACATCTTTCATTGAAGATAGGTGGCTATATATATATGTGATGATAGCTTTGATGATCCAATGAAACATACGCCATTCGATGACAGCAAAAGGAAGAGGAGAAGAATTTCATGGATCAATGTAGACAACTGATTACAATACATATAGTGAAGGACAGAAAAATACCTGTTAGAGAAAAGATTCAAGAGTATGTGTTATAGACAAAATTGGAAAAACCTAGAAATATACGTCATATATAATAGAAGATGATTAATAACAGTAAAGTAGAAAACGAAAATAGCAAATGTACAGTGAGTAGACCACTATCGAATAATAACACAACTCCGAAACAATATAAAAACTCTTGTCAATATAATAGGTATCGAGTAACACGAGAAAAATAATTTCCTGATGTTTAGCTTGCATTGCAATTGACTGACGAATTTTTTAATATTGCATGTTATGCAATAGAAGGGTAAGAACAAAAATATTCATAACCTTTGGAGGAAAAGATAGGAACTCAAATCCTTTAAAGGTTATTACTAAGACACTATATTGTACCTATAGGTAAAAAAAAACCATTGAAATCTAAGAAGGGCGTCTGGCGAAGTTTCCTTGTCAGTCATTTTATGGGATTATCAGTTGTTAATGAAGTTATTGTTGTGGCACTTGAAAGATCTGGATCACAGATGTAGCAATTCCAAAACTTCTGATCTAATTGAAAATAAACAATAAGATTATTATTTAAGACAAATGCTTTTTTTCTCTAATATAATGATAACATTATGAGTTAAACGAGCTGATCTAGGTGCATAGAATACATTATTCGATGTGGCACTGTTGCTAACAACGGTTTAATAATGCACATGTAGAAATCAATTAGTGCTTAAAACAAAATCTAAAAAAAGAATACTGTTTAGAACAAATACAATCTATTAAATAATCAAAATCGGCTTGTCATTCAGGAGTCGATGGATTTAATGTATTAAACATTTGAATGAATATTTCGTTTCGATTTCAAAAATCAATGCAACGCGTTTGATTATTGATGAGCGAATATCCTGCTGGTATGCAAGCCGATGTAGAGCTTTAGCATCTGAGAAAAGAATCATTAGAATATGTAATGTAGTCTAAACTATGGATTAGTGACTAGCTGCATTTATTACTAGTATAGATCCGTGAATGTGATTGATGTATACAGAATGATTTGTGTACTGTTTGGATTCTTATATAGATTCTGCACTTTTCCAGTGTTTGTTCCATCCGTTTTAATATATTGCGTAAATACAAATTATTCGTTATTCATTTCTCACATGCTTTTTAATGATTGTGACAATTGCTGGAATGAGCAGTCATAATTGAATTAAAATTGAGGCCATTGTTGATAAACATAAGTAAAGAATTTGAAATTTAACTTATTTGAACGTTAGTAAAATCTGTTGTGATAAAAATACGTTAGAATTTCATCGCTTTACACTGTCCTAATCGATCGATTTCACTAGTCGAAATAGAATACAGATGAAAGAAAACGATTCAAGAATTTATATAGGAAATATGAATTATTTTTGTGTGTTTGTTTTCGAAGTAGATACTTTTGTTCAATGTAATTGTTAATTGTTGGATAGACAATGAGGAAATGATGATAGAATCATTCATGACAACTCATTATTAACTTAGAGATGAGAGTTTTCAACCAAGACACGAGCAAATAAGTTTGAATATTTATTTATTCGAAAACATAAAATATATTACAAGCAAAGAGTATTATGATACTAATTGAAAATTAAAGACGAGCGATAATCTATATACTGTTTCGTAAAATAGTATATTGATAAATTATTTGTACTAAATAATGTTTTTTTTTTTGTAATTTTTCTTTTTATAAAAGATGATTATTATCGATTTTATTCTAATTATCTCTAGCATATACAAATAACTTCTTAAAAGAATGTCAATTTTCGAAATTAACATCATTCAATAAACGTACGTACCATGTAACAATTTTAAAGTAACATTCGCAGAAAAATGGATAATTCAAGATTGAAACTATTGATAATGATTTAGTAGATAATGTACATGAAACACAAAATCTCTGATTTTATTTTGTAATATACTATTTAAAACAATTGATAAATTCACCAAATTACCTCATAGATACTTTTATGAAAGTTTTTGAAAGAATTTTATTGTAGGAAAAGATCAGAATAAACCAAACAGAGAAGATGAAGTTTGGAAAAGATGTATGACATAAAGTGTCATATATTGCTTACAAAAATTCATGAAAGTACTTTTAGTATAAGGGAATAATGAAACTACACATTTAGTCAATGTGAAATTCAATATTATGCATTATATTGAGGTGATTTAACAGAATAAATGATGAAGAATAAATATGAAATCTTCTCGTAAAATCAATTTGTTTTGAGTTATAGACGAGTAAAAAAAAATTAAATGACAGAATACATGAAAAAACATTGATGATTTTTCATTATTAGGAACGCATTAATGTCAATTCAATTTTCTTTGTTTTAATTTCGACAAATAATTACGCATAAGTCAGCTGCATTCAAAACTCATTTTTCAAGTTGTATTGGTTTTGTTCTTCTGAAATGCAGATTTTATTTCAGTATCAAATGTACAGAGTAAGGTCGAATGAAGATAAGTGAATTGAGCTAAGGATATATAATTGAGTTTTCGGGTCTATGATTTTCTAGTGGTACACGCAGAATCTGCTGTATACTATCAAAAGATAAATCAGAGAATGTCTCTAAGTTTTAACATACCAAATGAATAGAAATGAAGGTAACCACTCGAAAGATCGTCAGGAATTTAATGACTTGGTCATCAGATTAGCTAGTCGTTAATGCATGTTCCATCTATGATATTTTCGATTCTTATTAGTTAAATCTTTTCCAATGTAAGTATCGGTATATTCTTATTTAGTACAATGATCATTTGTTGTAGAGTAGACATGAATTGTTGGATCGAATAGAACAAAATTGGAGATGCAACCATGATATTGAAGGCACTAAGTATTTATCATTTTCTATATTATACAACAAGAGTTTATATAGTGATGACTACTTGTCTGATATCGATATCGATTCATGTGGTGGACAGTTTGAATTACACCAAAAAAGTAGAAGCACTGTCTTCGGCTCATCACATGCTGATCGGTTTCATTGGTCTTAACTATGATACATGAAGTCGCATTTCTAATTACGAACAATCAGCCAGTCACACCAATGGTTCACTTATACCATCATATATCAAATTGCAATCGATATAAGATCCAAGAAATATTAGAGTTTCTCCTTTACTGGAACTTTCAAATGATAATACATTCTTTACTTAATAGCGTAAAGACTCCGACATTTTTCGTGATATTTCTTATAATGTTAAACAAAGAAGACACTATTACAGACATAAAATAAATTGATTTCAAGCGATGTATTCTTCTCGTTTCACATTGCTCTTTTTCTACGAATAATAATAATAATAATAATACTGATGTTATCAGAAGACTTCCCTAAATCTTTCATGATCACAAACAAGAACTGTTTCTGCTGTAAAACAATCGACTATTTCTTTATTTTCATTACACGATGAAAGTCTAAGATAATGCTATGAATACTTTTGGGAAAAGAGTAGGAATATTACTAATGCAAAAATAAATCTC